AGTCATCGAAATGAAGAAACGATAGAAAAACAGTCTTCCCTTCGAATTAAATTAACATTTCCTGACAAATTTCTGCCTGGAAAAAATCTTTGACTATGTCTGACTCAGTGAATCTACATGGTCAAGCACATATTTGTACATACCAGGAATTTCCAAAAATACATTAAAGGACTTTTTTAAAGGCACCACTTGGACACATACTGGTTTCTGTTCGAGGTTAACGTCTAGAGCATCTCGTACAAATTGATTTTCATAACTTATAACATGTGATTAAGGCTGAATAAATTTTCCCCCTTTAGAGAAATTCTCTATTCGCTAACACTCATAAGCCATGTATTCAAATGGGCCCTCGAGCACGTCAAACATTCCCTTAATATCAAAGATATTGTTCGCATTTGCATTGTAACAAGTGCATTCATCTTAACTAAATATCACCTTTCCTTTTAAAGCTCCAACTATACCACAAGGTAGATGTACGCCAGACCACGTCTCGCGTAACAGGCTTCGCGATATCTCACGAAACACTTACGCTGCGACGCGCCTGGCATACATCTACCTTGGCCTGCGGCGCTGACACCCGAGTCAGGTAGTGGGAAAATGTACACAAAGGTACGGCCCATGCAGGGTTTTGAATTTTTTTCGTTATCGTGCGGACAGACACACAGACACACACACACACAGACAGAAAAAGTTTTTTCCGACCAGATGGAGTACTAGGCTTCGCTAATCGCTCGGTCAATAATAGGCTTCGCTAATCGCTCAGCCAATCACCTACATCATTAACATAAATCTCACTATTGGTCCAAACTCATAGTAGAGCCTTAATCCAACTATAATTAAAGTTGATAGTTTGATCAAGACTTGTCTTCACTAGGTTGGGCCGAAATAACACTTTTGTCCGTCACGAAAACGCCTGGGTGCGGAAAATTGTCCCTGACCAATTCGAAACTCAACGCACTTTGAAATTTTGAAATCGGATAATATCTTCTGCCTGTTCTTTGAGCGCAAAGTTTAGCATTAGCTTCTTACGGGTACGCCAGCAAGAATCTCCGCTCGGGGCTTCCCCTCTCCTCCATCTCTTTAGTCATCTTCATTCTTTTCGCTTCTTTTAGCTTTTGCAACTTATGCACTTCCTCCTTCGACTTCGGTGCCGGGCTCTTGGGAGTCACCTCGCTTCTGCGTTTCAAGTTCTTTGGTTTTGCGGGCTGCAAGTCGGGCGGCAGAACCGCATTCTCCCTTCTTTGATATCTTGGTCTAACGATGGGAATTTTTTTTTACTTTCGGCACTTTGAAGTCTTCGTCTTCGGACCTTGACAAATCCAAGTCATCTGAGAGTAACGAAGAGCAAGAGTTCACGTCGAAAGACTCAATACTAGGGGGGTCTGAGTTGTGGCTGACTACATTTTCTGGCTGCAAGATTTCATAATTCGCTGGTCCATTGCCAATACTCCATAGGAGACATCTTTCCTCCCAGCACAGATCTGGAAGAAAGATAGCAGGATCGCTTCCTTCTCTCCAAGCATAACTCCTAAGGACCCTCATGGTACCTCTGAAAGCTCTGCTAAACTAACCTGCAAATATAAAATGAACAAAAAACGTTGCAGGTCTGATAAAAAAAAGTTTTTCTGAAGCCCTGTCGAAAAAAGCCGTTGCTCCTGTGCTCCAACCAACGCACCAGGACGTGAGGACCAACTCAAAGCGAAAGTGATCGGCGAGCCCCAAGAGGCGGGACTGACTGACCACTCCTTTGGCCTCCCCGAGACAAGCAAGTCTGCAACCAGCTCAAGGCACAAACATGCTGGGTTCCTAGCGATCCTCCGCAGCCTAGCTCCTTTACCTCCAGTCCACCCTAGCCGCGTCGCTATATATGCATTCCCAACAATGCCAGACCCAAACACCGGACAACGAAGGGGGACTGTCCTTACAAATAGCCACAATAAATGGGTTCACACATAAGGGTTCACACACATCAAAACAAATGTGAAAAGAAATCTATACAAAACAGTGTGCTATGTAAAAATTAACATATGCAAAACTGTATTTTATGTAAAAAAAAACTTGTGTGAAAGGGGTTAGGCAAAATGACATTCGGCAAAAGAACATTGTGTGAAAAAAGTTATGTGAACCGTCGTAGAACCGGCCGATGGCAAAAATAAGTGGATGGTCTCCTGGCTTGCCACTTGCAGACAACGCTTTGCGTCTATCCTTGACAGCGGTAAGCATGTCCCTGGCATCCTGCAAAAGAAATCGATTTAATTAAAACACTGTTGAACTAAAGAAAAACATACTGGATAATTTCTGTTACAAGTCCATAGTATCTTGCAGTCCCGTCGAGAAGGTAGCTGTTACGACATTCTGCTTCTGTAACCTTAACTTGCCTTTCGTCGATGAGGGCTCATCAGTTCGGGATGTAGGTCTCTCGGGCACCACTTGGAGTGGCACCTCTCCCTCCCGTTGGACCCACATCTCGGATAAGCGAACCGTCTGGCGTCTGGGCCCTGTGGATGGTCGAGGGGAACGGGGACGGGGACCTGCCCCTATTTGTCACTGAAGGGGGCAGACCTGTGAAATACAAGGGTTTGGGGAAAAATTTATTTTAAACAAACGGGGCGACTCAGAGTTTTAGTACTGCGCGCATATATAAAGTAAAGATGGCCCCACAATTTGGCCACTGAGCAGTTCCGACCCCTCCACAAACATGGCCAGCATGGCGTTGAATTGGAGCTGATGTAGGTCTTTGCGGTGTGCACGATTGTGCCTAAACCGTTGGGTTTGCAACAGTGAAAAAAATTGCTAGATTCTCTTAAAACATGTATCTAGGATCTGACAGGAGGGTTTTTTGAAATTCCACTCCGAAATACTTGAAAAAAATTCCCAAAAAATGAGTTAAAAAAAATGGGTTCAAATTTGGGTACTTTTTCCCTGGTTTGGGTACCTTGCAATTGAGTAAAAAAAAATCGCCCTTGTTAGATCCTGGGCACATAAATGAACAACATTCGGGCTAAATATTAAGTCGATAGCTCCAAAACTACGGCCTGGAGGTTGCACACCGTTTGCAAAAAGTCATTCCGAGAAAAACGAGTTTAAAGTTTTCGGTACCTATGTATAGCGACGAACCAAAAGCCAGGGCAACTTACTGAACTGGTCCTAAAAGATTCCGGGGCTCTAGAGGACTCCTTCCTCCTCGTGTATCCTGTCCTGAGCGGCCAGGCGAGCCCTAGCGGTCCAGCCACCCGGCCACTCGCAGCACGTTATGGGCTCTCCTGAGCGCAATTTTTCGAATTTCAACATCCGCTTTGCGGCATTAGAAAGAGGAAAGATCAAAGAATTTTTTGAGGCATTAAAAAAAATTGAATTTTTTGAAGATTTTCACAGGTCTGCCCCCTGAATGGGGACCACCGTCTTGAAAACAACAGACTCCGCCGATGTGTTATCACAGATCATTCCCTCCTTGACGATTGTTGTCGGTCCGTAAGTTATACGGCAAGCACATATGGGAGGTTAATAATAATAGAACCGACACCGGCGTTGGGGATCTGCACCTCCGGCACATAGGAGCACACGACACTTAGGGGGTGATCGTCTTCTGTTTAGACCCAAAACCGCCCTTCCGCCGCCTTAGTCACTACTGGCTCGTTGCTTCGAGTGCACGTAGGGGTGCACTCACGTGTCCTTACTACGTCATCTTGGAACAGGCCAGTCAGGCGATCCGGAATTTCACTTGGATTGTTGTCCCACGGTACGGCACAGAAAAACTCTTCTGGGGAGCAGTAGACCACGGGTAGGAAAACCGCTCGGGATCCAATGAGAGCGACTGCCAGTGGCGCTGGTATGAGTGTGCACCGCTCGTCTTCAACCTTAAACGGCACCGGGTATAGGTCAACCAGTTCCAGCACGTCCCCCACCCTCCGGATTGGCGCCCGTAGATTAATTTGAAATGTATCCTCGTGCACAGTGCACTGCACCGCCCTTAATCTATACAATACACTCACGTCGCCCCTGGGGACCAGTGGCTCTGCCCCGTACTTCAACAGGTATTTCTCCGCCTTGGCCACGGCATCTTGAAGGTGCCGCACCCGGACCAGCCACGGTGGCAAACAAATTTGCTTGGCAGCGACTCGTCGCCGCATCCAGGGTAGCCAGCTCCAGCACACCATTAATATTTACTTGGAGCCTGTCAATTCTCGCCGACTCCTCTGAGGTTGGTGTCGAGTGTCCCGTCTTCCCCGTCTTCGGCGCCTGAAGCTTAGCTTTGAATTCGGCGTAATTACGCTGAAGTCGCAAGATCTTGTCGGGCAGGTCGTCGAGGTGCGGCGCAATCGCCGCCGTGTATGGCATCACTGCCCTGGATTCTACGGGCTTCTTCTCTTCTTTTTTTCAAAACAACGCCATCAATTTTGGAAAATATTCTACCACTAACGGTGCCGCCGCCACCGCAGTTGCCCAGATCCCACGCTTGGGGCGGAAAGGGGCAACAGCGAGCGGGCTGTAAAGTTGGTGTGCCACTGGAGTTTGAGTAAGAACTTCAGCCAGTCCGTTAATCTCTGCAACTGGACCTCCCAGGTGCAGGCCAGGTTTGATGGCGGACAGCCCGCGTCCTGCCTGGTGCCGTTTTCAAATAGCATCGTTGGCAGCTTGCACTCGAACGGGATGGTCAGCGCGTCTTCGTAGGGAAGTTGTGGGCGGATCTTGGCCACCGCGCCCACCGATGCCTCCAGTAGGTGCGGCGGCAGGCGGTGATGAGGGAGCGGTGGCGCCCAGGTGTGCTGCCCAGGTGAGGAGGGGGGTCGACAGCTCGAGCGGCGGAGGCAGTCAGCTCCGCTGTACCACGAGAAGCTGCGGAGGAGAAGCGGAAAAGGGCCTCGGCGGACCCGCGTTAGTACGTCGCCGGGAGAGAAGTGCTCACAGCATGTTACGCGTGAGTACGTCTCGGACAAGGATGGGGATGCAGTTACTCACAAGTCGAAAAGTTATCCTCCGTCAGTAAGACTTAACTCGCACTAGGCGGCGTACAAGCAGACTCTCTCCAGGGCCTCCAGCGCTGCTGCCAGCAGGTCCTCCGGAGACAGCGTCCCGTCCAGGACGACCACCTCGTTCCGGCGTTCCGAGTACTCGGCCCGCAGGAGCCAGTCGTCCAAGCGCCGGTGCAACCGCGCAAAGAAGTAGTGCGGCAGCTGTGACTCCTCTGGGCGGCCTCGCCGCTGAGTCCGACGGCGCGCTTCCTCAGGCTCGATCCGCACGTACAAGTACACGACCGGGTGGGCGGGCCGTGTCGCGTCCCGCAGGACACGCAGCGTGACCATCTCCATTCGGGAAATCGCGCCGACGGCGTGTGCATGTTCCGAGAACACGTCCACTGCACACCGGGCGGAGCGCTCAAAGATGCGCATCCGCGACGTGCGGCGGGCACAGCGCATCCGGTTGCACAGCGTGCCCAGGACCAGCACTTGGAAGAGATAAGCGTTCGCGGCGTAGTCGTTCATAAGGGCCGCGAGGAAGTTGACACCGCCCGTTCCCCGCCATTCCTCGATCGGCTCCTGGTACACATCGTAGTTGCCAGTACTTGCCAGCGCCGTTGCTAGCGTCGATTTCCCCGCGCCGATGTTCCCTTCGAGATAGACATCCGGCAGGTGGCGCCTAAGGGCAGGGGGCGGAGTGGGCCAACGGCGCAGCAGGAAGGCGCCGAGCAGGAGCAGCGCGGGGCACCCGAGCACGAGGTAGAGGGCCATGGCTAGGTGTCTCTGGAGCTGCTCGGACTAGACTGAACGGGCGCACCTCGCAGGTGACTTATTAAAGGCGCTGCCGCGAGCCGCGGGGTGAGGGGCGAGGGGCAAGTGGTCGGGCGCTAAGCGCATTGTTTGAACGCCCAGTCCTCGCCTAACGCTCTACCTGACACCATGGGGGTACGCTTTCGCGGAATACGTGGTGGACGCCTCTGCCGAGTCGCCCGGTATTACCTGGCCCGTCCCGGCGCAATGGTGGGGTGGGGAGAGGAACCCCCGAACTTCAATCCATTCCAGCCTGTGAGTACCCCTCAACCTGCAAATTTTAGCACGCCAATGAGGAAACGTTACCGTTTGCTTTGCCGGCCTCCGCAGATTTGCGAAGGGTGCAAGGAATTTGCCAACAACCGGGGGTGGACCGTAGGCCTGCAGCTCCAGGTCTACCACGTCCTCGCGGAGGAGTTCTCTCCAGACGTCGTCTGTCTGGCGCGGGGGCTGCATCCAGGCTGCCCCGGCCGGGTCACCCACCTGGTGGACTGTAGCTGCCGCCGGCGTGATAAGGAGGAGGCCCAATTTTGCAACGTGATACTCGATGGTCTGGCTATTAAGAATAAAAGATGCTTCCTACGCGCCGTTGTACGTCATTGTATGTAAAGATCAAACCTCACTCTGCTTCCAATAGCAACATATTTGGTGTCCAATAACGAATTTTAAACAAGAGACACTCAAAGAGACATATAAAACAAAAAAAGACACTCAAAAAAGCAACAACTGACCAACCAGTTCAAGTCCAATCTCAAAACCGTCCTCGGAAACGAATTTGAAGGTGAATCTTCTTGTTGCACGCCCTCCGGGTGGAAGCACGCAGCGGCCGGGGGCAGGTGAGGACGCCATGCCCATCAGTGCTCCGGCAGTTGCCGCAGCGGTCGCGTCGCTTCCGGGCAGGTCGCTGAGACGGCTGAGGCTCGGCCCGGTGTACAGCACGCCGCTCAGCAGGGGGGCGGCGTGAAGTCTGGGTGGGGCGGCGCGGCGCCTGGGAGGGGCGTCCGCCGGCAGCCCGCGGCGGTGATGCTGCATCTCGCGCGGCGGCGTCCACGGCAGCGGCCGCGAAAGCAGCACGCGGCGGCGAGATGCGCCGGACAGGTGGAGGGGCTGCGGCGGCGGAGTCCGCGGCGGCCCGCCGTGCGGCCAGCAGCAGTCGGAGATCGCCGCGCGGCAGCTCCGCTGGCGCATCCGCCGGGAGCGGGATGCGGCGTACCTGCGGCTCAGGTCGCGGGGCCGCGAGGGCCTCTGGAGTCACCTCTATGACGAATCCACGGGGCTCGCGCGGCAGCGGGCTTATGGATCCTGACGACCGATGTGGTGA